AATGTTGGTAAGGCCTAGGCGAGGTCAAAACTGCAGTCCACTTCTGTCTGGATTAGAACAACTTTTGGGACACGTCATCTCTACTCATATCTTGTGTGAAAATCACATCTCATAGCCAGATTTCATACAGCCAAACAGGGAGCATGAGTGATTTTGATGTTTAGCAGCGGCTAATTGACAAACGGGTAGCGAAAAAAGGGGGCATAATGTAGGCCAGGAGCCCTGTAAATGGCATCTGGTACCGGTGGTGAAGTTGATCACGCTTCACTAAAGCCATTTGTAGCCACACACTCTTAGGCGACATTGGAGAAACGAGAGCACAGAATTGTGCGAATAAGTGGATGAGCCAGATGAAGTGTGGTTGAAAGAAAGAGATGCGGCACTAGAGGGTAGATCAAAAAATAGTGCCGAGGAGTGAGGCCACAACGGTTGAACAGAAAATTGGTCAAGAGAATTGTCTTCATTTGTCCCTTTGGTAAGTTGTAACTTTGTAATTATGATGGCGCCTCCCACTGACGATGCCGACTGCGATGCCGGCGAAACGTTTGGGAATGTACCCAACCGATGGTCGAATGCTGGAAATCACGAATACTATGACAGAGGACACTGGACTAGGTACTTTCCTCACGGTCTTCTTGACGCTCCGACCAAGTTGTGAAAACAAGGTCGAACCAGCGAACTTTTTAAGCTCGTAGATTTAACATACTATTTTTGAGGTCCCATGAGTAGTCTTTTTAATTTTGAAGGTCCGTATTTGTTGGTTTCTCCTAAACACATCTTCCTGAGTTGCCTATTTCTTCCATAGAACTTCCAAAAGAGGTAATTAATTGCCATAATCTGTATCGACGTCAGATATATTCTATTCATTTTCAAAAAGCAAGGCAACTACAGTTTTGGAACGAGGAGTTATTCTTGAGTAAAGCGAACCAATTTAAACACATTTTTCGCTCAATAAATGTATCATTTTAGGTAAAATATGTATCTAACCGTAAGTATGAAAACCAAGAGGGTATGGTCTACATTTCGGTCGTGGTCTCCTTTTGTTGTAAAGAAGTGGTTTGACCTCGCTTTCGCAATTCGGTCACATTGTCAAGGCAATCTCGTCCAGACTGTATCATAGTTGTCATCGCAAATTCTAGCGTCGGTCTGTGGACTTAGTACATTCACAGGCGTTTTTTTTGCATCGTAGGAACCTTGTCGCTCTTAGCAGCAGGTTAAAACTCGTCAAAAAACGAGTGAATTCACTCTCTAGACCAACGTTCTGCAGAATCAAAGATTGATAGCACAACCCTTGTAACTGCCTAAAAGTGTCAAATGCCATAACTGGTTGACAGATGTCTTCTCTGTCCGGCTGTATTCAGTGATATGCCTCTTTACCAAGTTGTAGGTTGGTATTGAGACTAGAAAGATACTCTAACGAAGCCGGTGAAACGTCTTGGATTGTGCCAAGTCCGTGGTCCGACTCTAACAATTGCCATGCTTACTAATGCAGACGATTTCGACAAGGTGAGTTCATCGAGGTCACTCTGACAACGCGACCAAGTTGCGAAAATAAAGCCAACTCATTTTTATAAAGTATGTACTGTTTGTCAATTAATAAGTTCATCAATCTCACAATCGATTTTTCTTAAATATTGGCTTGCACCACCTGCATGAATAGTAGGCTATATCAAAAGTATATCCAAGTTTACAGACTTGGTCATCTATCGGCTAACCGAAGCCGTAGTAATATCTTGTTAAAAAATTTCAAGAGTTTTGAGATTTATTTCCACTGTCTAAAAATAAGTCGTGAGGTTTTATGCAGGTATAGGGAACCTGACCTGAGACCGACCGGTAAGCTAGAAGACGAAAAAAATTACTTTAGAGGCGAGTTCGATTCGAAAGTTATACTCAACTATGTGAAATATTTATGTATATTGAAATGATGGGTAAAGAGCAGGTTATGATGGCGGGAGCCGAGCTAACGATGTGGTATAGCCATTCGAAAGATGCACCTCATGGAGGCGTAACACAGAGACTCAGCGTCACTTCGAGGTCGGTCCGGGCAACATCCGTATGCTATTATAGACGCAGTCGTAGAAAGACTTTGCCTGAGTTTCGACGCCGGGTGAGCGCATTCCTTCTTATGCGGGAGTCCAATCAACTGTTACGTGATAAGAATCCGCAGTAACGACACACGTTAGAGCAAGTCCGCATTTGTCCAAAGTCCAAATCTGGGTTTGGGTAAGATGGCTAGTTGGACATTCGAGGATAGACGTGATTCGAAGTAGATTAAATTTAAGACAGTTGTATCACGAGAAGGTGTGTGTGAGAGATAGATAAAGATGTTGAGTCACTACAATACATTATTAAGAATAATTATGTGCGGGCCATAGACATTTCGAGGTCTGGCTTCTCGTGGAAGAGTTGCTTTAGTTATTGGATGATTGTCTTGTCAACGTCCATAAAAGAGGTGAATTACTGAAGACTTGAAGTAGTAGAAACATGAATACAAAGGAGGTAACACTTGTCTCAATGATACCTTCTCTAACCAGATCAATTCGGTATATGGTATTGTGTTCATATACAGCGTATGTGTTGAGAAAAACTACCGAACCATCTGAAAGGGCTAAATAATTTGATGGTGAAAGGGAATTTCAATGTTAAGATTAGTGAGTCAATATAAATGAGAAAAAATGGTCAAATCTTGAATAAAAGCAATTATTGCAGGAAATAGAGAGGAAATTACCTCCCAACATTGAGCAGAATTAGATTGGGAAGGCAGGATGCAGCACCGAATAGGCAGATGAGAGCTGATTGGTTTAGAGTCTGGTTGGGGCTGTAGCAACTCAACGGACCTATGGGCGCTGTCTGCATGCAACAAACATACCAACGCACACACCGGAAGATGCTTCAGCAGTATATGAGGACAAAACAGGACATAAATATACAGGAAAAAGCATAAAGTTGCCCACCAAATCATGAGATGCCACATTTAATCTGAGAGTTGGGTTATGCTAAGAAGGTAGGATTGCGACCAGACGCCAATTGACCTCTTCTTTGGTTAATTAGGTTAAAGTATTGTTTATCGCTCTGCTCGTGTCCGTTTCGACGAGTCAGACGAACGCTCACCTCGTAGGGCTGGCACCGAAGAACGAATCGTCGGGTCTTGTGTGATCCAATCAGGGCTCACAATTGAAAGACAATATTCCTTGGGTTTTCAGTGAGGTCAAGGCGCCAATCCTTTCATCCCACTTTTGAACCGAGAAGAAAAGCTCACTGGCATGAAAACAGCAAGGACTGGCTTGGAACCCGGCTATTCCTCAGTTGCTATCGGCTTGCTTTCTTTTCTCAATGTACCTGAATAAAATGATGTTTATCATTCCTGGATAAATAATAGATACTCCACGCCACGTTGTGAAGAGTAAAACCAGAAGAAATGCTCATTCGCGCATCAGAGTAAGCTAAAGCTGAAACCGGTCGTCAAGGGAACAACCGCGTATGTGTGTGTGTGCGTGTATGTAGTCTGTGAATTCGCAAGTGGCCTCAAAACCTAGGGTAAGATGCAACTCGTTGCTGCGTTTCCGTAACTGACTGCAGTTCTGTGGTAGATGCCTTGCTATTAATGCTATTGTTTTTCACGCTTTCTTCAGATGGAACCCAAACAATAGGTCAAAGGATGCAATCGATTTGCTCGTGTACGCTTGCCTGGTCCATTGATGCGTGAGTGTCCGTATGCATGCCCGTGTGCCCCTGCATGCATATGAGCTTAGTAACAAGGCAGTAGGCTTGTTATCACGTCAACTTCAGTGCAGCACTTTTACGGAATCATGATGGACGAATTGGTAAGGGTCTCCAAAGGGCATGATTTTCCGTGAGAATCACATGAGGCGTTTATTGTAAGAAAAACATCTTATTCACGTTCATTTTCCAATGTGCATCCTATGGGACACTCATTAACCAGCATTTGTCTGCTTCAGCTCACCAAACACACGCATAAAATTTGGCTAAACACCACAGGTAAGAATCGAGTTTTCTTAGGCTATTGACGGTTTTTTTCACATTCTGGCCATAAATGGTATGTTCTAATAGAAGTTAGGGTGGTTTATGAACGCCGTCTCATGCACATGGAGGGGCGCGCAAGTGTGGGCCGGGTTCGCCGTGCTAGACTGGAAGCAGACTCTTGGCGGCCTGGAGCCTGAACCTCGGATAACTGAGCAAGGCGGTGGGGACTCGAGAAGCCTCAGTAATGGTCCCTACGCAATTGGCTATCAGGTCCTGCGGACAGCCCTCTACAAGCTTGACGCCAGGCTCACTTTATCCTGTCGCCTGGTCCTAATCGCCAAGACGATATGTGGCGGCAGACGGTCGCAGGCCTGCCTACTATTAACCTCTTCGTCTCTGGGCTCTCAGTTCGCGAATTCGAACAAACCAGAGAGTGCGGATGGGAGGAAATTGAGGTGGACCTTCAAGCTTACTCCATAAAAGAAGACACATAATGATCTCCACTTTAGCTCTTAGGCTAGCGCCAAGTTATCGATTGTACGCCTTCTGAGTATTGCTAGGGGGACTTTCATTTCGTATGAAAGGGAATGGAGAACAGATTCGTTGGTCGATCTTACCCTAACAATGTTATCTCAAGAGATTAATCGAAACCCAGTTTCTCTTCGTGCCTTATAAGACATTGTTGGACCCTCATTTAAAGCAACGCTTTCATTTAATGTTACGATTTCGATATTTGCATATACTATTAATATCCTCCACTATTAGTATTACTGTATTACTGCATTACTGATATTACTACTATCGTTAAGCTTACTTCCATTCCGAGTGAGTGTTGGGTGAAGAGATTCGAAGGTCGGTTCCACCAGAATACGACGGACT